GGCCACTGCAAGGCCCCGCCCACTGCACAGGCCCCGCCCACTGCACACGGTCCCGCCCACTGCACACGGCCCCGCCCACTGCACACGGTCCCGCCCACTGCACACGGCCCCGCCCACTGCACACGGTCCCGCCCACTGCACACGGTCCCGCCCACTGCACACGGCCCCACCCACTGCACACGGCCCCGCCCACTGCACACGGCCCCGCCCACTGCACACGGCCCCGCCCACTGCACACGGTCCCGCCCACTGCACACGGTCCCGCCCACTGCACACGGCCCCGCCCACTGCACATGATCCCGCCCACTGCACACAGCCCTGCCCACTGCACACGGCCCCACCCACTGCACACAGTCCCGCCCACTGCACACTGTCCCGCCCAGTGAGCATGGCCCCGCCCACTGCACACGGACCCGCCCACTGCACACTGTCCCGCCCAGTGAGCATGGCCCCGCCCACTGCACACGGTCCCGCCCACTGCACATGGTCCCGCCCACTGCACATGATCCCGCCCACTGCACACAGCCCCGCCCACTGCACATGGTCCCGCCCACTGCACATGGTCCCACCCACTGCACACAGCCCTGCCCACTGCACACAGTCCCGCCCACTGCACACTGCCCCGCCCAGTGAGCATGGCCCCGCCCACTGCACACAGACCCGCCCACTGCACACGGTCCCGCCCACTGCCTGCCAGGCCCATCCTGCCCATCGCTTGCCTGCGTCCGCAGCTCGGCCACTAGGTGGCGCTGCGGTCCCTAGTTATAATATTATTATGTAATAAAAAACGATGATTTAATGTATACTCATCCCTCAGTATCCGGATTGGTTCCAGGAACTCCTACGGATGCCAAAATCTCTGGATGCTCAAGTCCCCGATATACAATGGTGCAGTATTTCCATATAACCTATGCGCACCCTCCCGTATCCTTTAAATCATCTCATCATTAAATCCTCCCATACCTAGTACAACGTAAATTGCTAGGTAAATAGTTGTTATGCTGTATTGTTTAGAAAATTATGGCTAGACAAAAAAAAATCTTTATAAGTTCAGCACAGGTGCAATTTTTATTTTGAACACAACCCGTGGTTGGATGAAACTAAGGATGTGGCACCCATGAACACAGACAGCCAACTGTATACCAACCACTGCAGTTTGTGAAGTCAGGCATGGTGCTAAGTGCTTCGCATAGAAGGGATCGTTTCATCCTAACAATCTCAGGGGGGACAGGGAGGCACAGAGAGGTGACATTGCTTACCCAAAGTCACACAGCTAAGAAGTATCAGAGACAAGATTCAAATCCACAAATCAGTGTTGGAAGATTTCCATGGCAACAGTGTCGGTGTAAGGACATCAACTGTCCCTGCCGAGGGGAGGCTGTAGCTTTTCTGAAGCACATCCTTCCTACTCTTTGGGTTTTAGGACAGTCTTTCATTTATGACATTTGCTATTCTATCATTTTTTTTTAATTTTCACTTTTCAGGCCCAAAAGATTCAAGATAAAAGATTATTTATCCTGATGAACAAGCTATAATGCTGGGTTAGAAGGAAATTTAAGTTCATACTAAGCCAACAGTCCCTATAATGCAGCATTTATAATTATAAATGCACAATGAGAATGATTTAGAAAATTGTATCATACCAAAAGCAATAATTAAAGAAGAAGAAGAGCTCATTTACATAGAATCAAAGATTAGGCTCTTGGGTTATTTGATGATTAATTAATGAGGAGAAGTAAATCTTATCAATATAAGGACTGAGTACTAAGTAGTTGTATACTTTATAATATAAGTAAATTTTTTTATTTGTTTATTTTCATTATTGGAGTATCTGAAGATAAGTAAATCCTATATTGAAGAAATATATAAAGTCCACATAGTAGGAGCTCAGGAAATGGCAACTTCTATGGGCCATAGGGCAATATGTCTCTGGCATTTGCACTTAGGCAGAAATATTTATTGAATCACAGCGTGTCCAGGTACGTGCTGTGTGAGTCTGAGCAGGTCACCCTACCTCTCAGAGATTCAATTTCCTCATATGTAGGATGTGAACTTACATCATCGCATGGTCATGTGGGGGTTACGGCAGCTAATCTGTGAAAAGAGCTCGGCACGTGCTAAGCGCTGGGTGAGTCATAGCTATGAGAGTTATTATCACCCTAATGTCAAAGGTCCCTCATAAGCACTGCCAGCTCCATCTGCCCCCTGGGAAATCAGAAGGGCTGACTCGCTCACCTGTCTCTGCCAACTGGGTCCAAGGAGTGAGACGCAGGGCTGTCTTAGGTGGGTGTAGAGCAACATCTAGTGGACCAGAAGGGAAACTGACGGAGCGTCACCATGACGCTGGGAAGAGGAAGTGTAAGGCTGGCTGAGACAGAGGTTGGCAGAGAAGCAGGGAAGGTGGCCTGCACGTGCTGGGTGTCCCCAGCAGGGAGAGGGGGGCAGGTGAGGTCCCTCAGCAATAACCAGGACACCAAGTCCCCGTGTGCTAACTAACTGAGGGGTCCCTCTGCCTCTCCCAGGCCTGCCCGGGCGCTGGGTCTCTGGGTCCTGCGGCTCAGGGGCCCGACTGCTCATGTCCTGCTCTGTCTGTCTGTGTCCCCACTAAGAGCACCGCCTCCGTGGTCTCCAGTCCCCAGTGGTCAGAGGCCAGGGCCTTAGAGGGCTCCCTGCCAGGGTGCAGCCATGGCCTCCTCCACAGCTCTGGGCCACGCCTGAGCAACTGGGGCCCTTGTCACTCTGGCACCAGGTCCTGGGGCTGCTTTCTCCCCTGTCCTCGTCTGCAGCAGAGATCCCGGTGGAATCCCCTCCTGGAGTTGTGAGGGGGAAATGGGAGAAGTCGTGGAAAGCGTGAAACACAAGAACAGGCCCGCGGTGACCGCCCAAGAACTGGGAGCCATTATGACCATGTACAAAGCGCCCATTTTTTCTGAGAAGGGCATTTCCATGTTGATAGAAATTCCTTCCTTATATTAATATTTATCAGTGACAGTTTGAAGGATGTAGGTGGATATAAACATATGCATATATATCTAAAATACATTAAGTTAAATTAAGATAGGTTATTAAATGATATATACAAGACACTGCAGATTTTTTTTAAAAAAAAATGAATATACATACCACAAATGCTCAAATATAAGCTGAACCCAATTCTAAGTCAATTTTCCAATGCAGTAGTAATGAAAAATATCTCCTAGTGAGAGAATAAAAATTTGGGGTTTGTCCTGATATAAACTTTTAGAGAAATCAAATGTGTATTTATGATACACAACTTATTAGTTTAGATGCAATTAGGTATTGTATGAGTAATATATAATTATTGCTGTTTTCCATTTTTATGTTTAACAATGTTTTTTAACTCAAATTCTTCATAGGATTCTCCAACATCAGTAGTTTTTCATCTCCAAAATGAGTTTTGAATCTTCTAAGCCAATTTTCCGGGGTTCAGTACCTACTCTTCTATCTAAGTGCAGGGAGAGACAGGCCTTTTTGAGTCAGGAGCCTCTTGTCAAACCACAGCGAGGCACTCAGGAGGCATAAGGACATTTTAAAAACTAATCCTGTAGATGTTAATTTTATTAACATCTTAAAATTAAAATTCTTTTATATTCCCAGCTACTCAGGAGGCTGAGGCAGGAGAATCGTTTGAGCAATTGCAGGAGTTCAAGACCAGCCTGAGCAATACAGCAAGACCCTGTCTCTAAAAAAATATAATGTGAGATTCCTCTTTTAAATCATCTGTGTACAATAGCATCCACACATGCAAGTGTAAGGTCATCTTCCAAGGAATCATTGCCAAATCCAAGTTCAATTTCGTTACCACTTGCTTTCCTGATTTCATAGGGCCACCAATCTAGGCCACTAATACTGTCACTAACTGAGACCTTTTAAGGCATGTGTGTCTTCCCCAAACTGTCTTTTGTGTTTCACAATTAAGTTGTTGAGAGAACCATTCCATTCTGAGAAATTTTAAGGGCTCCTTTTGTCCTGTGATCAATGGGGAGAGGCTCACCTAGAAATACCATGTGAAAAAAGTACACCCAAGGCCGGGAGCGGTGGCTCACGCCTGTAATCCTTGCACTCTGGGAGGCCAAGGCGGGTGGATTGCTCAAGGTCGGTGGATTGTTCAAGGTCAGGAGTTCGAAACCAGCCTGAGCAAGAGCGAGACCCGTCTCTACTATAAATAGAAAGAAATTAATTGGCCAACTAATATATATAGAAAAAATTAGCCGGGCATGGTGGCGCATGCCTGTAGTCCCAGCTACTCGGGAGGCTGAGGCAGGAGGATTGCTTGAGCCCAGGAGTTTGAGGTTGCTGTGAACTAGGCTGACACCATGGCACTCACTCTAGCCTGGGCAACAAAGTGAGACACTGTCTCAAAAAAAAAAAAAAAAAAGTACGCCCAGATGTAATGATGTGGGTTTCCTGGCAAAGGGATTATTTTTTATGGGGTGGATCCTTATTTTATTTTATAGATCTTCATTTTCTAAACCGATCTGCCATAGCATGGACTGCTTATTTAATAAGGAAGAAAACAAGCAATAAAGATTGTGTTTGCCTTTTTTTATTAGAAAATAAAGAGTTGGGTCAATTCTAAGTCCCAGGACCACTCGGGCTCAGCCCAAGCCGGGCCACCCCCTCACCCCAGGCATCTGACCCCAGGGGCAGATATGACCCAGGTCCTGTATGGGGTCAGGGTCTCCTGCCCGTACAGCAGGACACTCTAGGAAACTCCCAGGCCAGGTGCCCCATGGAAAAGCCCAAGGCAGAGGGCGCATAGCCCCCATCTCCTGGCCATTTTTCCTGGCAGCCCAAACAGAAAGGGGAGGTTCCAGAAAACTCAGTCTCAGTTTCCAAACTTCAGCGAAGCAGGAAATATTTGGTGGGAGGGCTGGCCACTGAGCTTCAGGCAGCCCATGGAGTGAGGTTCAAGCTGCTGCCTGGAGGGTCACCCTGGCCCTTTCCACACCCCAAGGAGAGGAAGATGAGTCCCTCTCTGCCCCACACTGTCCCCTTCCCCCTCTGCAGTCCTCCAGCCTGCTGGAGAAAGGCCTGAAGGTGCCGCTTCCACGGGGCTGGGCAGGAGCAGAGAGGATTTCTTCCCGGTCCTGCAGAGACGGCGGCTGCCCAGGACCTGTGTGACACCCCCGGGGACAGGCTGGACGCTTTCGTGAAGCACAGCCTTCAGCCCCAGGGGGACTGGAAGGACGAAGTGAAGGATGCCTGGCAGAGGATTGAGCAGTTCTTGAGGGATCAGTGCTTCCGTGATGAGCTGATCCTGGACCAGGAGGTCAGGGCGCTGAAGGTGGTCAAGGTGAGCACTCGGGACGCCGGGGGTTCAAATCCCAGCTCTGCCCCTGTGGGACTCTGGGGGATGGGTCCCTTCACCTCTCTGAGCACCAGCCTCCTCCTCCTCTTTGAAACTGGTCTGTTATGAGCCATAAATATGGTAATAAGTGGAGAAGTGCTTTTAAGGGGTAAATTGACCTACAAATCTGAAGGATGCGTGTGATGAATTCTGTTGATTCGAGTGTGCTGTGTTCTAATAGAAGGCATGCAACATCTCAAAGTCCCCAACCCCACTTTTATTGGGGATATTGGTGTATGCGTCCAGTAGAGTTTATTTGCCAGTGATAAGAAAACATTTCTTTTCCCTTTCCTCTTGTTCTCTCAACAATCTCTGTGCCTAGAAGTAGAGACACCCTTAGGATAAATGTCTTCAACTAGTTTCAGCAGAATGGAAAATGCATGGAACCCAATATTTATAAATAATAAATTAATAAGTTCATGACCTTATTTTACCAAATGTCGGTGAATAAGCAATAGCAATAAGGACACACCTTCATTAAGTTTGAGTTTTCATATTATGACAAAGAAGTGAGATTACCTCCATGCACATAATTCAGCATATTTTTTTCTTTCTGCCTTTCTTGATTTGTTCAGCACTTTTTTTTTTTTGATTACGTCAGTTTTCCTGGTTTCACCCATTCCTAATAGAATGGAAGCTCTGTATTTTTTGAAAGTAGACTGTGCCGATTCCTTTTGATTTCCTTGTGACCTGGAGAGTCTTTGGGGAATGGTCGTTATTTGTACAAAGACGTCTCTTGTTGGACTTAATCGCACCACCATCTGATACCCATATTGTTCTTTTTTCTAGTATTCCGTTTCCTCAGGTCAAGATACCCAATTCCTAAATTAAGGTCACCTAGGAAATATGAGCACTGCTAAGGCAAAAAATGATGTCATGATTTTTAAAAATTATACAGTAATACCCTTAGATTCCAATTTATGGAAACATATGGAAGATTACAAATCACATTGCTATTCATAAGTAAGCACTATTAACATTTTAATATACTATGATGACATTTAAACTATTTTTAAAGAAACATAGAACATTTTATTTCATATGTATTTATAAGTACATTTATTTTTAAAGTGACTGTAGATTTCTGATTGGTCCAAGATGGAGTTAGCCTCATACAACCTCTCTCTCTCTCTTTCTCTCTCTCTTTCTCTCTTGCTCAAATATTACAACTAAAACTCTGAACAGTGGACAGAAACAAGTATCTGAGAACTCTGTAAAGTAAATAATAACTGGCAGATGGGAACCAAAATCAAATCCTGAATAACAACCTGTATGAGGTGATGATAGTGGGTTAATTGTTCTTCTCTTTCTCCCGGTTTACCCACAGACAGGTGGAGACGTGGAACTGCCCAGCAGGCACTGGAAGGGAATGTTCTGGGACAAACCACCAACGTTTCTAGCCAGGTTAGTGGGACAGTGAGGGGTTCGTCCCCCATCTGTTTTGTTTTTCTCTCCCCACTTACAAAGCTGTCCTGCAGCCTCAGCAGTAGCAAAGGAACCTAAAGCCCTGAGAAATTCCTTGGCTCACTGGACTAAGGAAGAGGAAAGGGACTTCTTTGAAGATTGTGGGACAAGTCCCCATTATTTTTCTCTTGCTGCTTCACCTGCAAGGTCAACCTAATTGAGTGACACTGCACAATGGCACGGGAAGCTGAAACACTGAGCAGAATATGAAGAAAGGAACCCTGAACTCCTGGGGATGTTGGTGGAATTTTGCAGGGGAGTGATTTAAAGGAAATCCTTTAAATCTATGTATGACTCAACGTACGTCCTGGGATCACAGAACAGACCCAAAGAAGTAGAGGAAAGGCTCAGAGAATTGAACTATGCTATAAACCAACACTCAACTCCCAGATTAACCCCTGAGTTATACATGAGCCCTGTGGTCACAACCACCTAATAGTGGCTTGAAAACTGCACTGAGATTAGAACACAGAACATATGGTTTAACCTAAATCAACTGTGTTGATTGCTCAGTAAAACAACAACAAATGAACATTCTCTAATGGATTTTAATAAGAACCAGAGTCTCACAATAGAATAAGCAAACTGTCCAAGATACTATCCAAAAATGTACAATAACACATAAAAAAAAAAGCTAGGAAAATTTAACCAATTACCAAGGAAAAAGACAATCAACAATCCAGCCCCGAAATGACCCACATAAGGGTCGTATCAGAGAAAGCATCTATTATAACCATTCCCAAGGAAATAATGGTAATACTCTTGCAATTAATGGAAAGATACAAGTCTTCAGCAGATCAGTAGAAATTATGAAAAAGGAACAAATGGAAATTTTAACTGAACATACAACATACAAAATTTTAAGAAACTTACTGGATGGATTCAATTACAGACTAGAGAGGAAAAAAAAGGAAAGAGTCAGTGAACTTGAAGATATATCAATAAAAATGATACGATAGAAATAACAAGTACAGATCCTCAGAGACATGTGGGATGTCATCAAAATTTCTAACATTCCACCCATTAGAGTGCCCACAAGGAGAAAGAAGTTCATGCAGGAAAAAAATACTGAGGAGAAAAATGGCTGAAAATATCTCAAATTTGTGAAACATAGACCCAAGAAGCCCGGAAAAACCTTACTCTGATACATCGTAACAATCTACTGAAAGTCAGAAAGCAATGGCATGTGATACATAAAGAAATAACAATAGGAATGCTTGTGATTTTTCACAAGAAATGATGGCGACCAGAAGAGAGTAGAACAACATTTTTGAATGCTGCAAAAAAAACCCAAAACAAAACAAAACAAAAAAAAAAAACAAAGAACCATCAACCCAAGATACTATATGCAGCAAAAATATACTTAAAGATTGAAGAGGGGGGAAAAGTGAAAAACTGATGGAGATGGAAAAAAACCAAGAGAATTCATCCCCTGCAAAGCTGCTCTAAAATGATGTGAAAGGAAGGCACACTGGCTGAAAGGAAGTTACGTAGGAGAGACGCTTGCGACTTCAGGAATAAAGGAGGAGCAAGGGAAATGGAAAATATATGGGTACATGTGACAGCCTGTTTTTCTCCTCTTAAATGCTTGACTTTGAGTGTGACTTGTGAAAGCAAAAATTATCCCACAGTCTCAGAGGGCAGAGTTCTGTCATGCAGACGTTGTGTATGTGATAACTGCAAAGAGTCTAGGGTGAAAGTATCTATGTGGCTGTAAGGTTTTATTTGAAAACCTGAAAGCTTTGGTATACATAGTTATTCCCATAACAATAGCCAAACACAATTACAAGCTCACTCCAAACATTGTATAACCTCAAATTGTATAACCTATTGGCTGGGCTAAGCCAATCAGATTTTGCATTCTGGAGATTAGGTGCCATGATTTTTTTTTTTTTTTTTAAGCATTTCCTATGTGCCAGGAATAGCACAGAACACTCTGCATTCAGTTCATTACATAAAATTTATTTTACTTTTTAAATTTTACAATTAAAATTTTACATCAATACATTAATTTATTAATAATTAATCTAATTAAAAGTAAATGTTAAGATTTTTATTCATTTATTTTAATAAAAGTCCTTGTTAATTTTGTTCTGTAACAAGCTGAGATAGACGTATTGCCCCATTTTACAGGTGAGGAAACTGAAATTCAGGAAAGCCAAGGGTGGTGGTGATCAAGATCACGCAGCTAGCGAGTAACAAAGCTGAAATGCAATCTCGTGTATGTCTGACCAGAGGCCAACCTCAACCACTACGTCGTCGTGCTGCCTCCAGTAGAGGAAAATGGGAGTCTCAGGACCACCTCCCAACTCCCTGTGCAAAAGGAAAGGCCAAGACCGGAGGCTGAGCCATGCAACACCCCCTTTAGAATGAGTAACTGTTACTAACATCATGCATTAGCCAGATTCCCCAAAGAAAGCTAGAAGGCCTCAGGTATCCTTGGGGACTACCCCCACAGATCATGCATAAGGAAATTCTTTGCCGGCCTCCCATTCACAAGGAACGTGCACAAGCACAGCTTTAGGTCTGCAGTCTAAATCTAGCTCCCAGAACCAAAGTCTGTTCAACTCCACACTGCTGATGGCGACTCCAAGCTTGTCTTCCCAGGTGCAGGACAGAGACAGGATGAGATCAGTCATTCCTCGGCATACCCAGGGACATCTGCATAATTGATTCTTCCTTTGCACCTTTATTTCCTCTTCAAAAATTCACCTTGTTCTTAAGTAAAATGCGGATTTCCTGGGCTTCAAAAGAAAATAAACATTTGCCTTACTACCCACCCCCCTCTTCCCTTTTTCTTTCTGTGTGCCCTCTCCCCTTAGATACTGAGTTCCCAAATCCCCCTTTGGGGGAAGAAAACAGCCCCAGGTGCGTGTGAACCTGAGAGAGAGGAAAGAGGCTGACCACTCGCAGGGACTGGCAGAAGCAGCTTCAGGACGGGGGGGGGGGGGGGGACGCGTGGAGACCCACTTCAGAAGGCTGGGGCGGTCGTCCAGGTAAGAGGTGGTGATATGGGCTGCTGGGTGGGAGTGGGAATAGAGGCAAGTAGAAAGGGTTCAAGGCCCGCAAGGCTTGCCAAATGATACTCCATGTTGAAAGATTAAAAGTCCTCCCCTGTCTCCCTCATTGGCTTCAGTTAAAAACAAAACAAAAACAAACAAAAAAAAGCCCTCCCCTACAATCGGAAACAAAACAAGGATGTTTGTTTTCACCACTTCTATTCAGCCTTGTGCTGGAAGTTCTAGCCATGCCAATTAAACATTGTATTTTTAAAAAGTAATAAAAGACATCCAAATTGGAAACAGAGAAATAAAACTACACACATTTGATATGTGCAGATGACAAGATCTTACATATCAAAATTCTTAAAGAATCCACACCTACAAAACTACCAAAGCTAATAAACTAATTTAGCAAAGTTGCAAGATATAAGATCAACATACTAAAACCAGTAGTATGGTTATATGTGAGCAATGAACAATCAGAAAAGGAAATTAAGAAAACAATTCCATTTATAAAAGCAGAAAAAAGAATGAAGTGATTAGGAATATAAATTTCACCAAGGTGGTGCAAAAGTTTTACAATGAAAGCTACAAAATGTGAATGAAAGAAATTAAAGAATATACAAATAAGCGGGAAGACATCCCATGTTTATGGATTGGAAGACTTAATATTGCTAAGATGGCGATAATCTCCAAAACTATCTACAGATTTAGTGAACTCCTTATAAAAATCCTAACAGCCATTTTTGCAGAAATGGAAAAGCTGATCCTAAAATTCATATGGAATATCAAGGACTTCAAATAACCAAAACAATATGAAAAGATCAAAATTGGGTGATTCACAGTTCCCTACAGTAACTAAAACAGTGCAGTACTGGCATAAGTCTACCAACATAAACAACTAAGTAGAGAATCCGGAAATAAACCCAAACATCTACGATTGATTTTTTAGTGGTTGCCAAGACCATTCAATGGGGAAACAACAGTCTCTTCAACAAATGGTGCTATAATAAAACAACCGGATATCCATATGCAAACAAAGTTGGATCGCTCCTCACACCATATACAAAAACTAACTCAAATGTATTGGAGGCCTAAATATAAGAGCTATAACTATAAACCTCTTAGAATAAAATACAAGGGTAAATATTCACAACTTGGGTTTGGCAATGGGTTCTTAGCTAAGAACACCAAGAGACACCAAGAGTAAAAGCAACAAAAGAAACGATAGATAAATTGAACTTCAGAAAAATGTAAAGCATTTGCACACTATATTAACAGGCCATTATCAAGAAAGAGAAAAGACAGTCCACAGAATGAGAGAAAATATTTGTGAATCACATATGTAATAAGGGTCTAATATCCAGAATGCATAAAGAATTTGCACAACTCAACAACAAAAAGACAACTTATAAAATGGGCAAAAGACTTGCATAGATGTTTCTTCAAAGAAGACATGCAAATGGCTCGCAAGCATATGAGAAGATGTTCAACATTATTAGTCATTAGGAAAATGCAAATCAAAACCACAATGAGACATGACTTCACACCCACTAGGATGACTATAATAGTAATTTTTTAAAATGTTTTTGCAAAGATGTGGAGAAACTGCAATTCTCCTATGTTGTTGCGAGGAGTGCAAAATGATGTAGTCACTATGGGAAAGAGTTTGAAGGTTCCACAAATGTTAAAGGTAAAATTACCAAATGACCCAGCCATTCCACTCCTAGGTATATATCCAAGGGATGTCCAGAATAGGCAAACCCATAGACACATAAAGCAAATTAATGATTGCCAGGGGTAGTGGGGAGGGATAAATGGTAGTGACTGATTCATGGGTATAGGGTTTCCTTTTGGGGTGATGAAAATGTTCTGGAACTAGACAGTGGTGATGGCTGCCCAGCGTAGTGAATATACTAAACGCCACTGAATTGTCCACTTTAAAATGATTGAATTTTAAAAATTCACCATGTTAAAATGGTGAATTTCATGTTATATGAATATTACTATAATAGATTTAAAAAGGGTTGTTGATGGGTAGAATGTGGGAGGAGAGTGTAGGAGGGAAATGAGGAGTTTCCTGGTTACCTTTGGGGAATTCTGTACCGGAGGGGTCTTAAGCTCTCCTCCCTGTGCTTTGGTCCCAAGTGCGTCCCTCTCTGCTTTGTCTAGGCACGTTCATGCCCACCATGGGGGCCTCTGCACCTGTTCTCCCCCGAGCCCGGAACGACGTTCCTCCAGCTCTCAGCCTGGCTGCCGCCCTCTGCATTCATGACTCAGTCACGCTGTCACCTCCCCAGACACCTCCACAGGCCTGACTGGCTCCTGCCCATGTGCGGAATCTCAGGTCTAATGTCACCTCCTCAGAGTTCTCATCCTATGGCCGCTCACCACCGCACCCCTCAGCTCCCAAGCCCCATGGCATCGACCGCAACCTTGACGTTTTACTGATTTGATCACGTATTTATTGCCTATCTCCCCCCCACCCCCGCCCAGATCAAATGTGAGCATTATGGGAAACACTGCCATATGATGTATGCACACGCTATCCCCCGTGCTGGGCACACTGTGGGCTCTCAACAAATGAATGAATGAATGAATGAACGAACGAAATGTACCTGGGAAAAATCAGAAAGAAAAAAAATCCAGCCTTGTTTAAGTGAACCTCAAGCAGAGAAATGTTGAGGTTGGCGATGATTTTCTATCTATGGGAGGAAGCAAGAATTTTTTTGTCCTCAGTTTTTAGACTTGGAGATCTACTGTGGTGAAGTCATGTCATTTGTCAACCTGTTGGCCACCAGGGCTGTCCATCAAAGGAAGCTGCCAATCTTCCTGAAATTCCCCCGGACCCTCCCACCTTCCTTCCTTGGCTCCAGGGCTTCCATAACCTCAGAGCCCGCAGCCCCTCCTCCCCGCGACCCAGATGTCACCATGTCTGGGCAACCTGTGAAGTCACATTCACATCATTAGTCACCCACCGCCGTTCTTTCCTGCAGCTGTTCACACGGCATCTCTATCCCACCCTGCAAAAAGCTCCTTGCTCTTTTGCTGGGAGTCACCAAAACCTACCTGTGGCTATGGTCACCGCTCACCATCTGCCATGCTGATGTTTCTCTGTGCTGTCTCCCACCAGGGACCTGGGCAATGCCTGACGCTCATGCAGCACCAGCAGGACCCCCATTGGAGGCAGCGCTAATGGACGAGATGCCTGCCCTGGCACGAGATCTCAGAATGCTCCCCAAATTTCCATTTACGCACAGCCCACCTGCCCAACCACGACTGATTAAATCTAATCAGGATAATATTGTTCCCCTTTGTCAGATACCCAATGATCAAGCATCTCTTGCAGTAAAAGTGACAATGCAACCCAGTTCAGGCCAATAAGGTTGAAAGGGAAAATCTGTTGGGGGACTCTGGGACTGTTTTTGCTTTTCTGTAAAAGGAACAGATGCAACTAACACTCCTTTCTTCCTGCACTGATATTGGGTGTGAGGTCTGGACTTGTGGCAGCCATCTTGAGGCCATGAGGCATCAAGCCACAAACTATGAATGATGGCATAAGATACAAAGAGCCTTGGTCACTGATGCCCTCAATTGGCCAATAAATCAATGCATGAGTGACTTATTCATTAGACACAGTAGGCACAGTGCCTAGGGTCCATAATAATTTCGAGGGCCTATGAAAATGTTTTAATTTCTTTGGAAATAAGAAGTATATTCTCTTCCCTACTCCCCCCCGCCCCCTCCATCAGGCCCACACTTCTATACTCCTCCATTTCCCCCAGCCATGTCAATGGATGCCAGTGGACAGTGATATGCAGTTTAAAAATGAGGAGTCTATATCCACATTTGTGGTGTCTGAACCCCAAACTAACTAATAAAATACTTGGCTGCATCACCATTTACTCCAAACCTTACCTGCTACAGTTTCAAACCTGGTACCATCTGATGAAATTATATCTTACGGAAAAATTAAGTGTGCTCTCCACAAAATTGTGCAGGATAGAAAAAATCGAATCCATCTAAATATGCAATAATAGAGGAAGACAGTATAAATTATGAAGCTTCCATACTTATGAAATCCTTCTGCAGATATGAAAATGGATGCTATAGATCTATATTTATTGACATAGACATTCACTTTTTAAGGGAAAAGCAGGTCAATTTTTTTTTTCTATTCATGGAAACAGATGGGTATATGACATAGAAAAAATTGTATCAGTAAAAGGATTTCAACTGCAAGTAAGAGAAAGCTCTAATTCAATGACTTCACAATGAGGAAATGCATTTTCCGAAACAACGAGACAACCAGAGGTGAGGTTCTCTGGCTCCAATGCTCCATGGTTCTCCTAATTCTCTGCACTTCCCTGTGTTTGCCCGTGATCTCAGGCTGTCACATGGTGGCAGCACATATAATGCCAATGCTGAGAGAAGTGGGGCTGTATGTTGGATGGGTCTCTCTAAAAGTAGAGACACCATTCCCAGAAGGCACCAACAGACTCCTCCTGTGTCTCATTGGCCAGAACTGTGTCACATGCTCAAGTCTAAACCAATCACTGACAACAGAAACAGGAGTGCCCGTGATTGGCTTAGACCAATCAGGACCTACCCAGGATGGGAAAGGGAACGCCTCCTCCAAGACACATGAAGAGGGAGGGGAGGATAGATATCTGGACAAATTCAGTTTCATTAGGAAGAGGGGAAAGGGAAGGGATATTGAAGTGACAACTGCATTAGTCACTGTTCTCCAGGGAAACAGAACCAACAAGAAGTATATGTGTGTACACACACATGTATGTATGCGTATATATGCATATACATAAAGAGATGCATTATAAGGAATTTGCTCCTACAGTTACGCAGGCTGAGAAGTCCCAAGACTTGCAATCAGGAGGCTGAAGACCCAGGAGGACTTATGCCGGCCTGAGACCCAGGAAGAGCCAGGGTTTCAATTTGAGGCAGAAGCCAGGAAAAGATTGATGTCCTAGCACAAGCAGTCAGGCAAGGGTAGTTCCCTGTCACTCAGCCTTCTTTATTCTATTCAAGTCTTCCATTGATTGATGAGGCCCACTGCATCGGAGGCGGCAATCGGCTGCACCCAGTCCCTAGACTCAAATGTTAATCTCATCCAAAAACACCATCCTAGACACGCCCAGAATAATATTTGACCCAGTCAAGTAGACGCATGCAATTAAGCACCATAGCAACAAGGAGCATCTATTGCATAGAGCATGCAACACAATGCTAATCAGGATTTCTGAGTTAACTTAAGGGTGCAGCCAAGGAGGAGAACCATTGGGTCGATCGCTTCGGGCCCAAGCTCAGAATTCCGAGTGCCACCCACACACTGTAAGAACTGGGCTGAAACCCTGTCTGGGCTCTGCTTTCTTCATCTATGATATGGTAGCGTAGGGTTGGCGGTCAGGCTGCAGCGGGTGGCATTCAATAAGACCAGGAAAGCAAAGCCCAAAGCCCGTACTCAGTGCAGTGACGGGCACCTAGTAGGTCCTTAATATATTATCTTGCTTATGCCAAGCAACCATTCCCCATTCTCCAGTCTCCTGGGGGACTCAGGACTCTACCCTCACCGGGGACGGTGGGGAGGTGGGATTGTGATCGAGAACTCTCCCCCCTAGCCAAGGGGCCGGTGTGTGCCCCAATTCAGGCCAGTCGGATGCTCCTCCCTGGAACGAGAACCTTAAACAGATGGTGCTCCTCTCACCTGAGTGGTGGCGCCCCAACCACACGGTCTCCACCAGGTGAATGATCCCGAGGGTCCCCCTTTCTGGCACTCTAGAGCTGCCTTGGTTTCATCGCATTTCCCAGTTCTCCGTGCTCCCAGGGATTCCGGAAACACATTATGTTTCCTGTCTATTTCCTTTTGCCCGAGTGAGCCAAAGTTGGCTTCTGTGGTCCAAGACCCCGACACATAGCGGTGGAAAGGAGGGGGCCCTGGACCCACCCCTGCACAGAGAGGGCACACTCCGAGTTGTCCCCCAGTCCTTATGAAAGGACAATTGAATACTGGGGGACCCTAAAAGGCATTGAAAATCCTTAAAGGGACCTTCGAGGCCCTACAGGATTGTGGCCCACCACCTCTCTCCCATCCCCCTTGCTCCTGCTACTCCAGCCGCGCTGGTCTCCTTGCTATTTGTCACCCTCGGTGGACGCACTCCCACCCCAGGGCCTTTGCACTTTCCCTTTCCTTTGTCTGAATTTCCTCCAGAAACCCCCACCATCTACTCCTTTTCCCCTTTGCTCCAATGTCACCTGCTCAGTAGGGCATCCTTCAACCATTCTGTATCAGGATACATACCCCACCCATCTGCCCTCCCTGTCTCTTTTGCCTAACTTTATTTTTCTCCAGAACCTTCCAACACACTCTATCATTCCTTTATTTATTTTGCTGTCTGCCTCCTAAGCTCCAGGAGGGCAGGGCTTTTTGTCTGTCTTGTTCACTTAGAAATTTCCAGCACAGCTACCTGGAACAGAGCAGGTGCTCAATAAATGTCTGTTGACCTGAGTTGCATCCTGGGCGGAAAGATTCAGGGACTTGGAAGGCAGGGTGCTTTTGGTGAAACATGCCTTTGTCCTGCAGAGCCCACTGCCTGCCCAGCCCTGGAGAGCCTGGCCGGCAGGTGCCACCTGTTGGGGGCTGCCTCCTGGGAGGACCCCGCACCCCCCAGTGACCTTCACATGGGGTAGGGAGACGCCGAAGTCCTCGCCTCTCCTGGACAGAGAGCCAGCGTATCCTGGAAGACCCTGAACAACAACAACAGTAACAGCAGCGGCAGCCACCGTTTACGGTCACCGGCCCCTTATTCCCGGTCTGCACTAAGCGTTTCGCAGTGAAGATCTCATTTACGGCTCAGATCACTCTGAGACCCAGGATACCCATTTTGTACCATATTACACCCATTTTAAAGATGCGAGAACTGAGGCTCGGAGAATAGGAATGGCAACCCCACCATCTCCTGCCATTCCCTCCGGCCCGGCGCATACTGATAGCAGATGGTCAGGAAGCAGGAGACTCCCCTTCCCCGCCCCACGTGAGAGGGTGGGACGCGGGGCGCCCGGCGTGCAGGGCTGGGGGCCCCTTCGGAGGCTCGGGCGCTGGGCGTGCGGGCGGCTGGCGTGCGCCCTGCGCGGAGGACCCTGGGGCGCGCGCGGGCGACCCGGGCCGCCCCAGGCGGCTTTCCGGAGGGCGGGGCGACCGCGCGGGCCCTGACGTCGGGCGGCCCGGCCGTCACTCGCGCTCGGCCCCGCCCCGCCCAGGCTGCAGCAGCAGCGCCCAGGCCGGAGCCGCAGCCGCCGCCGCCGCCGCCGCCCGGGACGGGGACGGGGACGGGGTCGCCGCGCGCTGAGCCATGGCTTCGGTGCCCGCGGGTAGGGGCGCGGGCGCGGGCGGCGGGCGGGCGGCCCCGGGCCCCGGGTCCCTCCCTGTCACTGACCCGCCGCTCCCCGTCTCGTCCCCCAGAGGCGGAGACCCGGCAGAGGCTGCTGCGCACCGTCAAGAAGGAGGTAGGTGGCGGGGCAGGGGCGCCCGGCGCGACCCCGGTGGGGGGACAGCCGCAGCCGCGCGGGCGGGGAGGAGAGTCTCCGTGGAGGAGCGGCGCCCGGCGGCGGGGACGGCCACCTCGGGAGCGGGGCTCACCTGGGCGGGCATTGACCTCCCGCGGGGCTGGGGGCATGCGGGGTTGGGGGGCTCAGGTGTGGGGGCTCCGGAGGTCCGGAAGCTGCGTGTGGCGCGTGCAGGTGCGGGCATACCTGGGGGTGTCCGTAGGGCCCCGCCGGCGGAGGGGCAGGTGGGTGCGTCTCAGGGCGGGCTGGGGGAGGGGCGCGGACGGAGCCGTCTGCGGAAGGGGACCGGACTTCAGGACAAGGGACAGGTTCTATGTGCGAAACTGAAGCCTCCCTTCCCCGCCCCAAGTTCTCAGTCCTTGGAGCCACCAGGAGCCAGGAGACTCCTCCACGAGGGTCCCTGGGCAGCGGCCTGCTCCCCTGGGAGTCAGGGTCCCCCCACCCTACACGCAGGGGGGGCGGGAATCGGACAGGCTCGAGCAGCCCCTCTGCCCGCGCCCAGCCTGGGGGCCAGAGGGGGGCCCAGTCTAGCCTGTAGGGCTCCTGGCCGATGACCTCCCAGGGCCGGGTAGCAGGGGGAGTTTCTAGCGGTGGGGGCCGGGGTGGGATTCGGCTGTCTGGCCCGTGCGGACGCGTGTGTGGACGCGCACGCGCACAGCTGTGTGGGCGAGCGTCGTGGCCGTGTGTGAGAGCATGCATCTGTCTGGAGCTCTCCGCGTGTCCCTGTGCGCCGTGCGTACGGCTGCGTGCGGACCTGTCTGCGCGAGTATGGGTCTGTGCGTGTGTGTTCGCGTGACGCGTGAGTCAGTGTGAATGAGCGAGGCTGCGACCGTGTGCGTGTGAGTCTTGAGTGGGTGTGCAACGTGTGATGCATGAGTCTGTGAATGACTAAGGCTGTGGCTGCGTGCGTGCGTGCGTGTGTGTGTGGGTTGCCCTCTCCATGTCGGCCTGGGACCCCTTTGCTGCCGCGTCTGCGTCACCTCCGGACGTCATGGCTCCGGAGCCCAAGACCTTGCGTGGCTGCAGGCCTTGTGGGCTGGCCTGGTCCCTGTGCTGGTTCTCTGTGCTTGTGTGTGTGCATGTGTGCGTGTGTGCACGTGCGTGTGTGTCAGCTGCGGTGGCAGCGCCGAGCGCCACCGAGGAGCCCCTCCCTGCACAGTGGCAGACAGCCAGCCAGGGCAGCCTCCAGGCCAGGACCTGTTGCTGTCCCTCCCTCTTCAGGGATGTGGGTGTGTGTCCGTGTGTGTACGTCTCTGTGTGTGGCATGTCCTGTTTTGTTTAGAGGATCCGCTCTAGAGCTGATTGTACATTCTAGAGTTTGCAAATAAGGAGACATGCCAGATATATAGGATCCCTCAGAAAGGCCCAGAAGTTTTCAGCACAGCCCTTGTAGAGACCCTTGTGATGAAACTGAAGGCAGCTCTGTTCCGGGCCTCTTTCCAACAAAACACACAGACCCACAACATTCTCATGGCCATTTCAGGGCAGGGGTGTATGTGGATCCACAAAAGCCTTTATGTTAAAAACCTGCTGTGCTGTTGCCTGCGGTGTCACCAGACCTAGGTGTACTATGTGCTTCCCAGATGTCTTTGCCTGGGCTGGGTTCGTTTTTAAGGAAATGGTGGGCTGGTGCAATTGGCGAGGGGGCTGGGGACAGACAAGAGCGTCAGCCAGGTGTCTGGGGAGGGCTTGGGCTGAGGTCCTGCTCCCAGCTCCATCCCTGCCCTGCACCAGTCCCTCCCCCATCTATGACTCAGTTTCCCCATTTGCAGAAAGATGCATTTATCCCTATGCCCTTTGAGGCCCAGTCCATGTCAGTCTAGTTTGGCTTCTGGGACAGGTCAGAGAAGAGGAGCAACTTGCCCAAGAACACCCAGCTGAGAAGGGGCAGAGTCTGGACCTAACCCCCATGTCTGTCTGATGAGCTCTTACCCTCCCATGCCACAGACGTGCCCGCCCGCAGCTGTACAACGCCTCACTGTGGGGGGTGTGGGTGGCATCATTTCCATTGTGCGGGTGAGAATACTGTGGCCCGGAGAGCGTGAGTCATGTTCCAAGGGCACAGAACCAGTGAGGGCGAACAGGTTCCAGTCTTCTGCCTTTGAGCCCCCTGTTTAGCATGGTGACTGTCCCATGCGCCCCAAAGCAGACCTCCCCTTCCTTTCCTTCCTTTGCTTACTTATTTGGGGGGGGCATCTCCCCAGGTGTCAGAGAGCCAGTCTCTGGTTGAATGGAAGAGAAAGAAAGTTCTTTGCTAGAAATCTGAGAGTCAAATCGCCTCTTCCCTCCCCCCACCCTCTGGGTTCAGAGGAGCCGAATGTGTGCCTGCCACAGCCTCGCCCAGAGACACCTCTCACCTTCTTTCTAGAAGGGGCGTCTCAACAGTCAAATTCTCTAGATAAAGAGGGCACCCCTGCAAGCTTCATCTGACCACTGCAGCCACCCAGGGCTGGAGACTCTGTCCAGTGCTGACCCGGGAGCCAGGAGGACCCAGCGCCCACCCATGAGGCAGGCCAGGAAGGCGCTGTGCGCTCACCCAGAGCTGGGTGCAAGTCCCAGATGCATTTGTGTACTGAGGTTGTGTGTCACTGGGCTGGGTTCTGCAGAGACAGCAGTGAACACGACAGGCCCCATCGCCGCCCTCCTGGGGCTGACATTGCAGGGGTGGGGAGAGACAGAGATGCAGTCCCGATTACGAGCAGAATCACACACTGTGCACGGGGGGTCTTGGGGGAGGTACCAGGTGCCACAGGAATGCAAAACAGGGAGAAATGACCATGCGGGGGCCCAGGACGCGGTGTTTGGGAAGGCAGGTGAAAGATGAGTAGGTGAAGGTGTGATGGGATGGGGGAGGTCAGGCGACGCCATTCCCGGCAGAGGCATCCGGATCTCGGGGGCTTTGTGGCCGGACAGAACACTGTGAACTTGGAGGAATCGAAGCGGCTGGAGCAGAGAGGGAGGAGAAAGTGCAGCTGCAGAGGAGGCAGAGCACGTGGTCTCACCCTAAAACCAAAGAAGAGGAATGGGGAGGACATGGGGAACAGGGAGAGGAGACGACAGAGCTCACGCTGATTGCATGTTCGTTGCACCACCCTAGACGAGCCCCGGCATCTGGGCTTCAGTCTGGTCATAGCAGGGATGACAATTCCTCTGCTGGCAGGATAAACCACGCAGAAACACTCCTGATGTTAGCCTGAGCTTCTTCAGGGCAGGCATATTATTTTTCTCTCTCTCTCTTTCTCTCTCTCTCTCTGGCTCTCTCTCTCGCCAGTGCCACCAAGAGAAAGCTGGGGACAGGGTGTCCTCAGCATGGTCTCCTCCAGTTAAATCCAACCAGCTCTATCCTGGCTCCTTCCCGGCTCGCTCTCCCCTCCCAACGCCACCCCTTAATTTTGTTTTGGTTCCCGGAGCGAGAGAGCAGAGACTGGCTTCCCTGTTGCCGTGACAACTGCCATTAAGGGAGCCAGCCACGTGATGCCAGTTGATAACAGAAGCAAAGTGACTAGCTGTCTTGTTTTCTTGCCTCCAGGGCTGGGCCTAGGAGGCCTCTTAATTGGAGGGGAGGAAGGTAGGGGACGGTGGGCAGCGGATGAGACCCCAGGAGGGAGGCAGGGAGACGCAGGGGTAGGGCCTGCGGGGGAAACTTCACCTAGCTGGGCAGGCTGGAGCTCGGGGAAGGGCATTGGTTATGCATCCTTCAGCACAGATGCTGAGCAGGGTGAGTTTGGGGAACCCAGCCTCCCAGCCTCCCAGCCTCTGGGTTGGGGGCGATGGGATGGGAGAGAAGGCCAGGGCAGGGCATGCCAAGAAAATTGGAGGAAGATAGGGAAAGCACTTGATGTTACTATGGAGACTCCATGGTTTGACTCCAACCCAGCGGCTTTTAATGAGGGGGACAGTTGTGTCTTCCACCCCTAGGTCGGCAAGATCGCATACAGGTCACCCCATGAAATTTGACTTTCAGCCAAACAACGAGTAGGTTTTCAGTGTTAGTATGTATTGCTAAAGCTGTCAACCCTGCTCCGGGGGACATTTGGCGATGTCTGGAAACATGTTTGGCTGTCACAGCCGGGGATGCTACTGGCATCTCCCGGGAAGGGGCCAGGGATGCTGCTCCCATTGCAATGCGCAAGACATCCCTCCCCCACCCTGCGCCCCCACCCTGCGCCCCCACCACTGCCACCGCAAACACGCATCCGGCCTGGAATGCCAACACTGTTACGGCTGGGAGACCTGCCCCATCCTGGCCCTGCGGTCCCTGTGTGTGCCCACCGCCCCCTTCGCCTCTCCAGGCTGGCCTGGGGCGGACATCCTATTAGTGGACAACTCGCTCTTGCTGCTTTCAGACTGTTTCGGGGGCATGCTGGAGGTCCAGAGGGAGGGCGGGGAGAAGCGGCTCCTTAGCCATGTCATTTGGGGCAAACTTCCTTAGAATGCCTCTGTTCCTTACCTGGAAAGTGGGCTTGGGCCATAGGAGAGGGTGATTCATACCTGTTCGTGGAGGGTTCTCTCTGTGCTGGGCACTGCGCCAAGTGCTGCCCAAGATGAGGGACTGGAGGTGCAGAGAGCCACACGGCTCACTTTAAGGCCACCCAGGTGGTCCATGGAGAAGGCAGCCTTCAAACCCGGCCAGCATCTCGGGGGCGGCCTATGCCCCTGGCTTAGGGAGGGCAGCGGTGGGGAGCAGGAGCTTCAGACGAGTCCCCGGAGACACGGCTTGGGCTGAGGACTGTGTCAGGGAAGGAGACGGGGCAGGGAACACTTATTGGTCCCTGTTTGTGCAGGGCGCTGCACGCCCAGGCTGCAGCGTTTGGACTTGCCACAGCAGATAGCGGGGAGCTATGGAAGATTTATGAGCAAGGGAAGGTTTTGCTGAGAGCTCTCCTTCCGGAAATTTCAGCTGATAGCAGGGACTAGGATGGACGTTTTCTTCTGCCAGC